TTCTTCGCTCCCCTCCTACCCTCTCCCATGGTCCCATGCTCCCAATTTACTCAGGGGATCTTGTCTTTTTCTACTTCCCATGTAGATTAGATCCATGTCTCTTTTAGGATCCTCTTTGTTGTCTAGGTTCTCTGGGATTGTGAATTGTATCTGGGATTATGAATTATAGGTTGGTTTTTTTCTTTCTTTTTTCTTTCTTTTTTTTTTTGCTTTATGTCTAAAAACCACTTATGAGTGAGTATATACGATAATTGTCTTTCTCTGTTTGGGTTACCTCACTCAATATGATGTTTTCTAGATCCATCTGTATCCATTCTTCAGTTGAGGGGTATTTAGGTTGTTTCCAGGTCCTGGCTATGACAAACAATGTTGTTATAACATAGTTGAGCACATGTCCTTGCGGTACGGTTGAGCATCCTTTGGGTATATACCCAAAAGTAGTGTTGCTGAGTCTTGAGGAAGGTTGTTTTCTCATTTTCTGAGAAATCACCATACTGAAATCCAAAAAGGCTGTGCCAGCTTGCACTCCCATCAGCAATGCAAAAGTGTTCCCTTTTTCCCACAACCTCTCCAGCATAAGTTGTCATCAGTGTTTTTGATCTTGGCCATTCTTAAGATGGCATCTCAGAGTTGTTTTGATTTGCATTTCTCTGATGGCTAAGGATGTTGAGCATTTCTTTAAAACTGTCTCTCAGCCATTTTAGATTCCTCTGTTGGCAGTTCTCTGTTTAGGTCTGTACTCCATTTTTTTTTTATTGGAGTATTTGTTCTTTTGATGACCAATTTTTTGAGTTCTTTGTATATTTTGAAGATCAAACCTCTGTCTGATGTGGGATTGGGGAAGATTTTTTTCCCATTCTGTAGGCTGTCAAGGAAAATTTTTATCTGAATGTTTTCTGTTTGTTTGTTTGCTTTACTCTTTGGGGTCTCAACAACCAGCTCCCAAATAAATGCAGAGAGATTTATTCTTACTTATACATGCCTGGCCTAAGCTTGTTGGATTGTTTCTTGCCAGCTTTTCTAACTTAAATCATCCTGTTTAACTATATTTTGCTTCTAGGTTTTTTACCTTTCTTTATTCTGTCTTTCTTCCCTTCTTCCTTGGTGGCTGGCTTAGTGGCTGGGTGGCTGGTCCCTGATGTCCTCCTCTCTTCCTTTTCTAGCTACTCACTCTTCTTCTCCTATTTATTGTCTCTGCCTGCCAAGCCCACCCATCCCTTTCCTGCCTAGTTATTGGCCGTTCTCCTCTTTATTATATCAATTAGGTGTTTTAGGCAGACATAGTAACACAGCTTTACAGACTTAAACAAATGCAGAATAAAAGAATGCAACACATCTCTGGATCATTAAGCAAATATTCCACAGCATAAATGAATGTAACATATCTTAAATTACTATTATACAATATCAGAATGTCTGAATGTTACATACTTCCAAATTATAGGGGCACAAAGTAAGCATTTTTCATTCAGAAAAGGAAAGAATGGGGACTTGGCCATAGCTCAGTGGTAGAGTGGTTTCTGTTACACCTAGCCCATAACACACCATGAAGAAGGAGAGAGACAACACTTATGGAACCAAAGATTTCAATAATTCACCACATTCGGGGTCACTGATCGATCAGGGCTGCAGGACAAGGACTCGGGAGCCTTGTTTCTCCTGACAGCCCCAAGCAGGGCCAGAAGCAGGGGTTTATAAGTATAAAATTCTCAAACATTTGTTGCCAAGTTACAGTTACAATTTTCACCTATCAGAATTTAGAAAATAGGGACTTCCTTGAATGTTGCCATCACTGTCAACTGGTATACAACGCAGGTCTTTCAGTCCAAGAAATCTGATCCATTTGTTCCTTCCGTTGTCATAATGTTTCTAAAGAACTAAAGAGGCAGAAAAACTTTATCTATGGTTTAGAAAGGAGGTTGGGCCAGGCAGTAGTGGCACAAGCCTTTAATCCCAGCACTCAGGAGGCAGAGGCAGGAAGTAGAGGTGGGGCAATGAGAACAGGAGAATGCTGGGAAGGAGGAAGCCCATTCCTCCCCAGTTCTGCCCAGACCACAGATGCAGGATGTGACCTACCCCACTGAAAAAGGTATTGAGCCATGTGGCTAACATAGATAAGGATAATGGGTTAATATAAGTTATAAGAGTTAATAAGAAGCCTGAGCTAATGGGCCAATCAGTTTATCATTAATATAGAACTCTGTATGATGTCTTTGGGACCTAAAGGGCTGTGGGAACTGGGCAGGACAGAAACCCCAACAAGCATGCCCTCATGTTACACCACATCACCTTACCTTTTCTGTCTAAATAAAAAGGAAAGTTTTGGCTTTAACGTAGTGAAATTACATATAACAAAACAGATACCAAGCAATAATTATAGTTACAATAATAATATCTACTTTTTCTTTTATCATAACTAAGGAAAACTATAACTATTCTTCAACTCCATCAAAGATCCCAGAATGATATAATATTAGATAAGAGTTCTTTTGTAGCACTGGAGCATCCATCTTCAGCCTACAGGCCTATAGTATCTGGCAGACTTTTCCATGGAACAGGAAATTTGAAGATCTGTTTTTCCTTGCACTGGCAAAGTTTATCAGTTGCCTTCTTCTGTGTCCTGCAAAATGTCTGGTAGTCTTTCATGAAGCAGGGACTCTAAAGAAGGTTGTCTCACCTTCTTTAGGAAAGTTCAGCAATCATTTTTCTGTGGGTCCTGCCTATACAGTTCATACAGCACACCATCATGCAGTAAATGCAAGTGCAGTTTCTTACCCAAATGTCTAGCCAACTCCATAAGGAGCCTCTTTGATGCCCATCATCCTCTTGAAGTAGATTGGTGCTGTCAGATGTGTCTCATTGTCATGAAAAGTCTTTGTTCTTAAAACATTTTAAATGCCATATTCTGTAAGTCTTTGAAAGTTTTGAAGAATACCTATCCATCTGAAATATATCTCTGTAAATCTTGAATAAAATATATCTCTATACATCTAGAAAATCTAACTAATAAGACTATAAGCTTGACTATTATAGATGACTATCTATTTACCTATATTTTTAAATGAGCTACACTATCAATACCTTAATCAAGAGCAGAAATATACATATAATAAAATTGACCTTAAATTTGTATCAATAAATCAAGATCCATACCAATGCAAAGTATTTATATCTATAGCATATCCCCTTTAAATGTAAAAAATATTTATAAACAATCATTTAAGGAATTTTGTCATTGTTCTCTCCAAACTGCTTCCTGCTTTTTGTTGGGCAGGTATTTTCTTTTGGGGAGACATAACAACAGACATAGAGGGAATCCAGAGAATCATCAGATCATAGTTTGAAAACCTGTACTCAACAAAATTGGAAAACTTAAAGGAAATGAACAATCTTCTGGATAAATATCACTTTACCAAAATAAAATCAAGCCCAAGTAAGCAAATTAAATAGACCTATAACTGTTAAAGAAATAGAAACAGTCATCAAATGTCTCCCAGTCAAAAAATTCAATGAAAATAAAGACACAACATACCCAGACCTATGGGACACTATGAAAGCAGTGCTAAGAGGAACGTTCATAGCATTAATTGCCCACATAGAGAAAATGAAGAAAGCTCACATTAGAGACTTAACAGCAGACCTGAAAGCCCTAGAAAAAAAAAGAAGCAGACTCACTAGGAAGAGTAGAAGACTGGAAATAATCAAATTGAGGGCTGAAATCAACAAAATAGAAACACAGAAAACAATCCAAAGAATCAATGAAACAAAGAGATGGTTCTTCAAGAAAATCAACAATTTAATCCCAGCACTCGGGAGGCAGAGGCAGGTGGATCTCTGTGAGTTCAAGACCAGCCTGGTCTACAGAGCTAGTTCCAGGACAGGCTCCAAAGCTACAGAGAAACCCTGTCTCGAAAAAAAAAAAAAGAAAGAAAGAAAAGAAAAGAAAATCAACAATTTAACAAACCCCTATCAAACTAATCAAAAGGTGGAGAGAGAACATGCAAATTAACAAAATCAGAAATGAAAAGGGGGACATAACAACAGACACTAAGGAAATTCAGAGATTAGGTCTTACTACAAAAGCCTGTACTCCACAAAATTGGAAGATGTGAAAGAAATGAACATTTTTTAGATAAATACCATATACCAAAATTAAATCAAGACCGGGTGCACAATTTAAATAAACCTATAAGTCATGAGGAAATAGAAGCTGTCATCATAAACCTCCCAACCAAAAAAAGCCCAGGGCCAGATGGTTTAGTACAGAATTCTACCAGAACTTCCAAGAGGAGCTGATACCTATACTCCTTAATGTGTTCCATATAATAGAAACAGAAGAGTCATTGACAAACTCTTTTTATGAAGCTACAGTTACCTTGATACCAAAACCACACAAAGACTCAACCAAGAAAGAGAATTACAGACCAATCTCACTCATGAACATCAGTGCAAAAATTTTCAATAAAATACTGGCAAACCGAATCCAAGAATACATCAAAAAAATCATCCATTATGATCAAGTAGGCTTCATCCCAGAGATGCAGGTTCAACATATGAAAATCTATCAATGTAATCCATCATATAAATAAACTGAAAGAAAAAAAAACATATAATCATTTCATTAGATGCCAAAAAAAAGCGTTTGACAAAATTTAACACCTTTTATGATAAAGGTCTTGGAGAGATTAGGGATACAAGGATCATATCTAAATATAGTAAAAGCAATATACAGCAAGCCGACAGACCACATCAAATTAAATGGAGAGAAACTCAAAGCAATTCCACTAAAATCAGGACCAAGACAAGACTGTCCACTCTCTGCATACCTCTTCCATATAGTGCTTAAAGTTCTAGTAATAGCAATAAGACAACATAAGGTGATCAAGGGGATTTGAATCGGAAAGGAAGAAGTCAAACTTTTGTTATTTGCAGATGATATGATAGTGTATATAAGTGACCCCAAAAACTCTACCAGAGAACTGCTATAGCTGATAAACACCTTCAGTGAAGTGGCAGGATACAAGATCAACTCAAAAAAATCAGTAGTTCTTCTATACACAAAGGATAAAGAAGCTGAGAAGAAAATCAGAGAAACATCACCTTTCACAATAGCCACAAATACCTTACCACAATTTTTAAGAGAACTTCAGTGCCTTCCCGTCTAGGCTGTTATTAGTTTTTAAGGGTTGTCAGAGAAGCCCTCTGTGACTCTCAGCTGTGTGTCTGCAGTCATCAATACCACGTAAAAGAAGTTTCCTTGCCCCTTACAGTCAGCAGAAACATGGAGCATTGACTTCCACATGAAACATGAGGTTGTTCTCAGGACAACCTGAGCCCTGGACATCACCCTAGGTGACTGGGCATAGAATTCTGTCTGATCATCGCAGATCATTTAGTTAATTAAAAAGACTCCAAAGAAACTGGCTTCTTGGTCCAGGTCCATCAAATGCTCATTTGTCACGGAGACAAAAATCCTGTCATTTTCTTTAAGCTCAAACAGCCCCCCTTGATAAATGGAGTACAGCCCATACTCTGCATCCCTGGACCAGCAGCTGTTTCTGGCACTCTTCATCAGCAGAATGGGGTCTGGGTAGCTGGTGTATTTGTAGATGTACTGTACCATTTGTTTGCTTTTCCTTGTCTGCCTTGAGACCGTCTTGGAGTCAATTTCATTCTCTTGGAACCGGAAGTACGTCTGGGCATAGACGAAATAAAGGCCCTGTTTCTGGATGACCAGCTCTCCTTTTCTCAAGTGCACATAGTTGAGGAACGAATGCCCTTTCCTCGATGACTCCCAGGATTCTATCTTCTGACCCAAGGTCTTTCCATCCTTGGACACTACGTGAAAATGAGAGAAACAGTTAGCAGCAGGGAGCTTGCGTCAAAGCGAGGTTGCCAGCTGCTCAGCACAGTCAATATGTTCACTGAGCTTGCACACAGCATCGATCAAAACCAACGTCTTACCCTTCCAGTCTGACATGGATTATAAAGACTTTTGTAATCACATTGACACTGGGACACTCCTGTACCATTTTGATCTGCTGTCACCTTTTAGTATCTCATTTGCCAGCTACGTCACACCCCACACGCCAAAGGTTGGCACTTCACTGTGGTTCTAAAGTGTCCCTGTGGCAGGAGATCCCAGTGCCTTGAGGAGAAAAGAAGTGCTGTACATTTGAACTTTTGAGGAGAAGGAAGAGATTTGAAAGGGAGAGAGAGAGAGAGAGACAGAGACAGAGACAGAGAGAGAGACAGAGAGAGACAGAGAGAGAGAGACTTTAAAGATGAAAAAAAAAACCTGGGTGTGGTGGTATGTTCTATACCAGTCCTTGGGGGCCTAAGACAAAAAGATCTGGAGTTCAAAGCCATTCTAGGCTCCATGAACCACTGTTTCGGTGAAAGAAGAGAAAAAAAAAGCACTGGGAGAAATAGAAGGGGGAGGGAGAGACTCAAGAAGATGTAAGGGCAGCAGGGAAGGTGGCTCAATGGGAGTTCTCTCACACATACTTGTCCTAAGGCCAGCTAGAGATACCTAAGTTTCCTAAGGCAGGAGAGTTATCAAACTCCTTGTATGACAGCCCCAGCCCCACCGCCTGCCAGCTCCAACCCTTATGATCTTACTTGGCATTAAGGCTGAGTAGCTTCTCCGACTGATCCCAGTAATGTGAGCTGCCACTCTCTGAGGTTTTCCACTTCCAGATGGATAGTTAATACTTAGCTGCTTTTCTGAAAGACACAAGACAGAGAAACATCAGCACTTGTCAAAAGAGTTTTAAATACACTGCTCTGCTCACACGGCTGTGTCTGATCAGGTGACCTGAACACAGTATCTCCCAAACTGATCCTATCGTTTCAAAAGACAGTCCATTTAGTGGGGCTGGAGAGGTGGCTCGGTATGAAGAACACTGGCCTGGGTTTGAACCCACGCCCACATGGCAGCTCACAATTGTCTATAACTCCATTTTAGAACAAACATGAGGATTTGAGTTTGGGTTCTCAGCCCTCACCTGAAGGCCCATGTACCACCACACACCTTTATCCCCAGGTGTGAGTGCAGTGGGGAGGAGTGAATGGGGACAAAGGGGTCACTGAGGTTGCCTGGCTGTCAGCCAGCCTAGGGTCATTCTGTGGGAGACGTATCTAAAGGGAATAGACAGAGACTGCTAGAGAAGAGCACGTGACAGCCTCTCCTGGCCTCCCAAGGAAGGCACACACATAATAGAAATCCTATATGATCACGTCTTTTAAAAATTAGCTTCAAAACCCCATTTCTGCTTACATTTGGTTAAGACAAATTATATTCTATCAACAAATAAATATTGGCAAGGATCAAAAATTATACCACACTATGTAGAGCTACATAGATTAACCATTGATTCCGCTAAGTCCTCGAGGAACTTATTATTTTATGAGAGATCCCTTGAGGAACTTGATATATTTTGAGAGATACCAATCATAAAATAAGATAATTATCTATGAGAAGTAGGGATGGAGGTAACATGTAAGAGGAGGAGGGAGGGACAGAATCTTATTCGTTGGAGATTATCAGGGACAGTTTGCTGAGGATTTGATGTAAAGACCTTTGCAGTCAGCTATCCCTGTAAGCCTAGATGCTCACCACATCTATCCCAGGCATCCTTCTAGGGACAAGGAGGAAGGACACAAATAATCAGGAAACAGAGGCACACAGAAGGTAGGGAGGGAACAGAGCTATATCCAGAGAGCTAAAGCTGAAACCCAGGGCAGCAGACAGGCCAGTGGGATACTCAGGTCTGATATGAAGGAAACAGAACACAAGATGTGATGTTCATCTGCCTTCGAAGAGAGAACACTGTACGGTGCAAAGAGATGTGCGTGCTTCGTGCCAGCTTATGTCAAGGTCTGGTTTGATGGGCAGAGGAAGTGGAGCTGGAGGCTGCTGGGCAGCTTACAAGGTTGAAAGCACTGGTGCAGCTCCCAGGTCACAAGCCCGGGAGCAAAACCAGGCAATACAAGCAAGGTGGAGAGACGCAGATGCGTGGCGCGTGGGTGGGAGGATGGACGGTGGCAGGGAGAGAGTCATTGCGGAGCAGATCTCCTGGGGAGTAGAGAACAGGATGGATGCTCTCTGCCTCTGCTGCTCTGATCACCCCGATCCCAGAGGCCTAGAACCCGGGCAGACTTCTTCCTTTTCTTCCACTGTATGAGCATATACACAAAGTCATGTGTTTCGGTGTAACATTTTGTCTTTTTTCTTCTCATTTTAATTGTTTGGATAGGGATGTTATACGTCCCCCCCACCCCCAACATGTTGTCTTCTGGCCATGCTCTCTCCCTTCACCTTCTGCTCCCCCTCCTTCCCCTGCTGACCCTCCCCCTCTTTGCGAATAGCCCCCTACTTCATGTATTTTGATTGGCTTAGATTAATTGTATAAAGTCATGAGTTCCATTATGACACTTATTTTCAGTGATATAACTTAATGTTTATTAGAGAAAATTAGTAAGCATTACAAGTTGGGTCTCGTGGTCTGGTAAACTCAGTGCTACCCCAGTCCTGTGTTCTACTATACACGCTTCAATCACACTCTCCACAAAAACACACCCAGGCAAATGCAACAGTACCCTAAAGACAACAGTTTACCAAATCTTATGACCTGAATGCCCCCTGACTCTTCAGGGTTCTCATATCCTGAGTAGCACTAAAGCCACAGGAACCAATTTCCAACCACTAAAGCGTTAGGACCCAAAGGAACAGCTTCCAATGTGCTGGAGTAGAATGCTCGACGGTCAACACTGAGGTACCATTCACCACTCGCCTCAGCTGTTACGTAATGTATGATTACCAGCACCTACCTCTCGGGACTTTGCTTTCCAATATTCAATAGTCAAGTCCAGTTTGCATCTGAGAACATTTCAAGACTATGGAGATTTGGGAGCAAAACTTTTAACCTTTAATTTTCTTATTTTATATATTCATTTTTCATGGTGCATGGCTTTGTGTTCAATAAGAACATTTTCATACAGATAAACACTATACACTGAACAGATCCCTCTTCTTCTTCCTGCTTTTTGCTAATGCCTTTGTTCCATAGAGCTTGGTGTCATATACGCATACGTAATTTTGTTTACTTACATAAAATGTAGGGTCTACACATAACAGAAAGCATGTAGCAATTGTCTTTGGGGGTGGGCTTAATTCTCTTTATATCTCTACTTGCATCCATTTTCCCTCAAATGATGTAACTTCATTCTTCATAGTTGGAAACATTGCCTGACAGTTTGCCCTCCATTCCTCTGTCATAGGACACCCAGATTAGTGCCACATTTACCTGTTTTAAATAGAGCTACACAGGCAAGCGTTTCTGTGGTGTCATGATTTTGTGTCCTTTAGACAAACACTGGCTGGTGTAGAGGATTAGTTTTCAGTGCTTTGAGGATGCCCATGCTTCTTTCTGTATTGGCTGGACTATTCTCCATTTCCACCAGCAGCGGATAAGGTACCCTTTCGTCCACATCTCCAGCAGTGCTTTACTTCTTTTCTTAACGCCAGCTGCCATTTTGACTGCAGTGAGATGGGATGGCGGTGTTTTCATTTACGTGTCTCTGAAGGCTAGTGAGGTTGGACATTTATTTCCTGTATAATTGGAAGTTGTGGTTCATCATTTGAGAACTGTCTATTCATTTATTGATCAGGTTATATGGGCTCTTGTTCTGTGCTCTGTGTGAGGTTGTGTGTGTGTGTGTGTGTGTGTGTGTGTACAGTCTAGATACTAACCATCTGTCATATGTGTGACTAGCATTCTGTAGGCTGTCAATCCCTTCAGTAAACTATATCCTTTGCTGTACAGAAGAGCTTTAATTTCCACAAGGCCCTGTTGTCAGTAGTGGCATCTTCATGACTGGAGTTCTTTCTAGAAAAGTCCATACCCGTGTCTGTACCTTCTTTTCTTTGAGAGTTTCAGAGTTTCAAGTTTCACATCAAGGCCTTCAATCCATTCTGAGCTGTTTGTCGAGTTCCATTTTTCTGTATGTGGATATGTGCATCATTTGGTGAAGAGAATTTTATCCAAAGTGCATTTTCGACATCTTTGTCAAAAATCAAGTATCTGTAGCTCTGTGTGTTGTGACAGCTTCCTTCGTTCCAGCTCACTGAGCTCCATGTCTGCGTTTGCATCAGCGCCAGTCTGGTTTGCTCTTATGGTTCTGTAGTAGAACCAGAGGCAGCAGCACTCTTCTCGCTCAGGATTGCTTTGGCTATCTGGGATCTTACATGCTTCAATAGGAATTTTAAGATCGTCGTTTCTCTGATGTGAAGAATGCCGTTAAGATTTGGCAAATATTTTCTTTACAGTTATTTCAATGTGGTAAAAGAGAAGACAGTACATGGATAAAATTATATATAAAAATGCAATGAGACGATCAAGGGAAGTGTGATGGGAATAATAAGATGCAGGGGAACTGACTTAGAAATGGTCCAAGAAGGGAAATCTGTGAGCAAAAGAGCCATGAAGTAGTGAGAGGAGCCCTGGCCAGGAGAGGGGGGTGCAAATGAAAGGTTAGAGAAGCCAGCCTGTGGAGGGCGTAGCCTGGATTACTACACCCACATTCCCAAAAAATGGACTATGGATATTTTCCTTTGTTTATTTTTTTTTAAGAGGGGGAAGTAGTGCAGGAGAATTATCTATATTCTGTCAATCATGTTTTAAATAAATGCTGATTGGCCAAGCAGGAAATATAGGTGGGAAAACCAGACAGGAAGTAGAAATGATGTAATCAGAACAAGAGAATTCTGGGAAGGAGGAAGCTGATTCCTCCCACTCCTGCCCAGATCACCGAAGCATCAGGATGTGATCTGCCCGCTGAAAAAAGGTACTGAGCCACATGGCTAACATAGATCAGAAAAATGGGTTAATCAAGATGTGAGAGTTAGCTAGTGAGAGGCTAGAGCTAATGGGCCAATCAGCTTATAATTTATGGAGACCTATGTGTGATTTTCTTTGGGGCTAAACAGTTGTGGGTATCGGGAGCGACAGAAACCCAAACAACAAGCAGGCCCCTCCATGTTACAGAATGGCGCCCAACAGTGACTGACCAGGAGAAGGGGCAGATGGAAGGTTGGAGAAGCCAGCCTGCGGAGGATGCTGTGACTGACTAGGAGTGGGGGGGCAGATGGAAGGTTGGAGAAGCCAGCCTGCGGGGGATGCAACAAGAACTGGTGTGGAGTCTGCTGGTCATTGGCAGGATGGTGAGCTTGTGGTCTCCAGCAGAAACCACAACGGAGATCACAGGTAGGGAGAGTTTGCTGGGGGAAGGACTGAGGCAGTGAGGGGCTTTAGAGTGAAGAAAGGCATTGTGGTCAGCAGCGGAAAATATGAGTAATCTTTGGGGGGTTTTGTCTTTTTTACTTCCTGCCAAGTTCTAGATGATACTAAACCTGGTTTGTTTATAGCATAATAGAAAGCTAAATAATTAAATAAGTGAAGAAATTGAAGTAAAATGACACTTCCTATGAAAAAAATAAGATGAAGAATAAAGTTCTGACTGTAAGTAGGTCATGAAGTGAATCCCAAGCTTTCCAGTCCTTGGTATAAGAGAGAGAGAGAACCAATAAACAGAAGAAGACAGTGGACAGAGAGGCCCTAATTGGTTTGTATGGATGGGAGCAAGGAGGAACTGGAGAGCTATTCAGCTTGTGAAGGAGACATTAGCAAATAAAAGGAACAACAAAATTTTACTACCTTGAGTTGTTGAAACAGTTTCCTCAAAGGTTCTCAAAGACACCTGCAAACAGCAGTGAATAAAGCTTGTTAAGACCCCGACAAGTTGAACAGAATACACACGCTTCTAGATTCTCTTTCCAACATGGGACAGGATAGTTATACAATCATATCCATACAGAACTTCTTTTACCCAAGCATAGGTATCTTTGGGGGATCTGGGGTGGATCATGACCAAAGGACAGTCTGAAAGTTCTGATTGACACTTGGAGCAGTTGAGAAGGAAGGGCACAGCTCCTGCTTAGGTCAGTTATAGCTCCAGGCCTCCAGGAAGCTGACGATAACCCTGTCCCTTCACGCTGTGTGGAGCATGTGTGCATGGAAGTGCACCTGTAAAGGGGCGCGGAGGAGACAGAGACAGAGTCCAGCAGCTGAAAGCAATCAGATATGTCTGAACCACAGGGTGTAAGCAAGGCATAAGGCACAGGTGCCCACAGACATGCTTGCTCTATGGATGTCTGATTGGCACCACCCTGCTGTTCTCTACTGTTGATAATGTTAAGTTCATGCTCCAAGAAATGATATTGCAGTCCCATACCTTGCTGGAGATCTCATGACACCCCTTTCCTTTGTGGCAACTAGTGGAGAAAGCCAGTATAAAAGGGAACTCTGCCTCGTTCTGTTTGGGGAGCAGAGCCTGTTTTGAGTCATTACGACCTCGGAACCCTCATTTAGCCTTTGTCATTCTTGATGTCTATGCTGTTCCTGCCTCATCACTGTGAATGTCAGACACACCAGTCGTGCGCATGTGCCAGAAAGTAGAGGTTCTCTGTCTCTCCCTCTCCTTAGACCTAGTTGTGAGCCTTTATTGGCATTGGTCCCAAGGGCTCTGGAAAAGGGACAAAGAGAAAAAGTGGATTTGAAAGCTCACCCTCTCTTTCCTATTTCTCTTCCTTTCTCTTATTTTAGGACAGGAAGCAAGGAAGGAGGAGGGAGAAAGGAAAAGGAGCAAGAGAAACAGCAGAGGAAAGGAAAGGGAGGTAGGGATAGAGAGAAGACAGCAAGTAAGGGAGAAGGGTCATTCTACAAGAATGACTGCAGGCAGGTCAGGTGACCATGAGTCAAGCCCGCCCTGCAGCTCTTTAAGAAGGCTTAACCAGCTTAACTGATCTGACCTGAGATGGCTTTATCTGTTTGAAAATGTGTTTAAAAGCATAACAATTATTCCTTTCTTGAGGCTGCTCCCAGAATTCAATGGAATGCTGTCCGAAATGGGAAATAGAAGGAAATAGAAGGCTCATCTTGCCTAAGTGGAACAGGGAATCCTCTTCTCACTTACACACTCACATCCACCCGATCCATCCTCTCCCTCCCAGTTTCTCTCTATTCTGGTCCGTAAGGATGAGTCTGGGAGGATGAGAGGGAATTAGTGGAGAGTGACATGGACAATCCATCATCACTGTCCCCTTATCACCTCTCCATGGTTGGCCCTTGTGCCTGCTAGCACCCCAGCTTCCAGACCTTGCACGCTCTAGCACCCCAGCTTCCAGACCTTGCATGCTCTAGCACCCCAGCTTCCAGACCTTGCACGCTCTAGCACCCCAGATTCCAGACCTTGCACGCTCTAGCACTCCAGCTTCCAGACCTTGCATGCTCTAGCACCCCAGATTCCACACCTTGCACGCTCTAGCACCCCAGCTTCCAGACCTTGCACCCTCTATCACCCCAGCCTCTAGACATTGCACCCTCCAGAACCCCAGCCTCTAGACAATGTGCCCTCTAGCACCCCAGATTCCAGACATTGTGCCCTCCAGCACCCCAGCCTCCAGACATTGCATCCTCTATCACCCCAGCCTCCAGACATTGTACCCTCTAGCACCCCAGATTTCAGACTTTGCACCCTCTGGCACCCCAGCCTCCAGACCTTGCACCCTCCAGCACCCTGGCCTCCAGATTAGTTCAAGTCTCTCTTATTTATTTATTTATTTATTTATTTATTTTTAAAGATTTCTGCCTCCTCCCCGCCACCGCCTCCCATTTCCATCCCCCTCCCCCATCAAGTCCCCCTCCCTCATCAGACCAAAGAGCAATCAGGGTTCCCTGCCCTGTGGGAAGTCCAAGGACCACCCACCTCCATCCAGGTCTAGTAAGGTGAGCATCCAAACTGCCTAGGCTCCCACAAAGCCAGTACGTACAGTAGGATCAAAAACCCATTGTCATTGTTCTTGAGTTCTCAGTAGTCCTCATTGTTCACTATGTTCAGCGAATCCGGTTTTGACCCAGCTATACCACTCTTGGGAATATACCCAAGAGATGCCCTATCATACAACAAAAGTATTTGCTCAACTATGTTCATAGCAGCATTGTTTGTAATAGCCAGAACCTGGAAACAACCTAGATGCCCTTCAATGGAAGAATGGATGAAGAAAGTATGGATATATACATATTAGAGTACTACTCAGCAGTAAAAAACAAGGACTTCTTGAATTTTGCATACAAATGGATGGAAATAGAAAACACTATCCTGAGTGAGGTAAGCCAGACCCAAAAAGAGGAACATGGGATGTTCTCACTCATATTTGGTTTCTAGCCATAAATAAAGGACATTGAGCCTACAATTCGTGATCCCAGAGAAGCTAAATAAGAAGGTGAACCCAAAGAAAAACATATAGGCATCCTCCTGAATACTAACCTTCATCAGGCGATGAAAAAAGACAGCGACAGAGACCCACATTGGAGCACCGGACTGAAATCTCAAGGTCCAAATCAGGAGCAGAAGGAGAGAGAGCACGAGCAAGGAACTCAGGACCGGGAGGGGTGCACCCACACACTGAGACAATGGGGATGTTCTATCGGGAACTCACCAAGGCCAGCTGGCCCGGGTCTGAAAAAGTATGGGATAAAACAAGTCTCTCTTCTTGATGACCCACTGAACACCTAAGGTCAAGGGCTTTTGAAGTCCCATGTCTGAGGCTCCTCCAGAGCTGTCCAAAGCTTGGGATTTTGCTAGACCTCCTGTGTAGTCACCTTCATTGCTGTTCCTGCACATTTGTTGACAATGGCACCCAGCCTGGGAGTGCTCACACAAAACCCAGGTGGAAGCCCAGTTCATTTGGCTTAGAAGCCATATTCCAGGTGATGGCTGGACTCTGCATCTCTACTGTGATATCACTCAAGTCACACACTGGAGCCCTGACCACCCCGACAGCACTGTGTCCATGAAACAAGCAACAGACTCCCAAGGTTGTCTGGCATACAGCCTCCTCCTACGCTGGGAAGTCACCATAACCTTAGACGGTGATGTCTCGTATGGGACTCTTAGTTTGCAGAATATTTTTAATAATGGTGCCTCCATCTGACCTTCTCAGAAAGGCAGAAGGCAAATATTTGTAAATGCTAGCTTCCTAAGAAGGAAGCAGGCAGTGAAGAAATTGACTGACTTAATCTAAAAGTAAAATCAGTTAACGACATTCTGCAAAATGAACTGTTAGTCAACCCGAGCTTTCTGCCAGAGATCCCAGTGAAGCGGCCTTGCGTCAACAGATGCATCTTCAAACTTGTCATTTGTTGACAATGAATTGAGATAACCTCACCTCCACCTTCTCAAAGTATTCTATTTTATGTGCACACACACATGCCAAAGAAAAAGAAGTTTGTTTTTTTTTTTTTTAATTCTAGAAATCACCCATGTGGGATGAATAGAAAACACCATCATTTGGCCTTGTTTGTCTTCTAAATAAAAACAAAGAAACACTGGGCAACCGTGAGCACATGCTATCTGTGTGTGTGCTCCCAGAATAAGATGCAAAACTCCAGGAGGCAGCTGGCTAACATCAGCCGGGGCTTTCCCTGTCATCTGGTACCAGTCAGGTGTTGCGCCATGTTGGGGGAAATCATTCAAACCCTCTGGGACTCCGTTTCTTCATTTGCAAAATACAGATTTCCAGATTTGAAAAGTCTGTGTCATCTGACTTGGTGTTCCTGCTGAGTACTTACCTCTTCAATGATCTGGTACAGTTGCCTCTTAGCCTGCGAGCAGTGCCTGGTCTCTTCATCAGTGGAGTCCCAAGGATCCTCGTCGTCCCTTAACATGCAGAACAGTCCACTCCTGGAGCACTTGGCCTGCAGCTGGGTGGAGATAGGATACAACTGTGTGATGAACACATTCTGTTTCTTTTTACCCATTCGGAAGCTAAAAGAACAAAGAGTGATGGAAATTAAGGGGAGTTTGGAAGCCATGAGTAATTTGTGGTTTAAACTAAAGCAGGCATGCCGCGCATTGTCCACTGATAGCAGCTAAGCCGTCAGAGGTGGTAGCAGGGATAGGAACAGCGCCGCACCCTGGCTCACGGTGCCCTTCGCTGACCCATCCCCGGCAGCCCTGTGTCATTCTTTATTTTTCTCACTTGCATTTGCTTCTCATTAGACGTTTGTGGTAGTAACTAAGGCTCCTTCCAGCTCTGAGCTAATGTGGCTCTCCCTCCAAAGCTGGAACTGCCTATGTTCAAAGTTGGAAGAGGAATCCACTTCAACGCCCGCATCCTTAAACAAAAGCAACTAATCATTTGAGTTCTGCCCCTTCACCACAGCCCCACAGCTGGGCGAGTAGATTGTAGTTATTGCATGGTTCCTACTCTGGATGGACCCTTGATACCCCTAGGAATCTGTACCCTGCCTCATTGATTGTTCTCAAAGCCTAGGGACTGATCTAAGGAGACTGTGCACTATTGAAGGTGTTTGCCAGGACTGGAGTCAGTGTTTATAATAGCCTCATAATTGCCAACAAAGTCCTTACCTTTGTCATTGACCACCGCCTACTGTTACACCCCATGCCCACCACATAGTTTCCATGAACCATCCAGAGATGGTTTGGCAGAGCATCAGGCTGCTGCCAAATCAGGAGACAGGAAGGGGGAGGAAGGAAGAGGAGGAAATAAAGATCCAAAGGAGGTGGAGGAAGAAGTCCTCCCCTTTGGTTTTGTTTTCCTAACAACTTGGATTTGCAACATGTTATTTCTCAATGCCTGTTGACACAGGCCTGTAAACTCAGCTTACTGGGAGGCTGAAGCAGGAAGATTACTGGTGTGGGAGGTCCTTCTGTATATGTGTTGCTTTTATTGGTTAATGAATAAAGAAAGTGCCTTGGCCTGTGATAGAGCAAAAGAGTAGAACTAGGCATGGAAAACTAAACTGAATGCTGGGAGAAAGAAGGCAGAGTCAGGAGGCGCCATGTAGCCACGAACAGGGACAGATGCACTGGAAACTTGCCAGTAAACCATGAACCTCATGGTAAAATATAAAATAATAGAAATGGGTTAAATTAAGATGTAAGTGCTAGCCAATAAGAAGCTAGAGCTAATATGCCAAGCAGTGATTTAATTAATACAGTTTTGTGTGATTATTTCAAGTCTGGGCAGCAGGGAACAAACAAGGGACCTCCTTACAACAGATTACAAGTATAAGGTTTGCCTAAGCTACAGAGCACATTCAAGGCCATTCTGCACAAATCAGACATAACAGCAGAAAGCAAAAATAGAGAGTCAGGTATAGCTTACTGGTAGAGTGCTTGTCTAGCATTCGTGACTCTGGGTTCTAACCCTGTCCGGCTGCAAAGAAAAACAACATGCTTCTTAACTTAAAACATCTGTCAATTTGACTTTAGAAAATAATCTTTTTGTTGTTTTTTGAGACATGGTCTCACTATGCAGCCTTGGCTGACCTGAAACTCACTATAAAGAGCAAGCTGAGCTCCAACCCAGAGATCCACCTGCCTCTGCCTTCTGAGTACGCAGATTAGAGGTGTGACCCACTATGCCTGGCCTAAACATAATAATTTTTATCTATTATTTAAACTTGGTGTAGCTGCAAAGTTAGGAGTGGTTGTAAATTTAACAACTCACACTTCCTATAGAAAAACAATCTGCTGACTGAGTGACTGATTGATTGAGACAAGTTCATACAGTCCAGACGAGCCTCACACTCCCTCCTTCTGGTCCTCCCCTCAGTACCTCCCAAGCTCTGGGATTACCTGTATTCAAAAATTCTCCTCATTTTATAAGGTGCTGTGGACTGAACCAGAGCTTCGTACTTGCTAGGCATCGGAGCTACACTCCTAGCCCAAGTCATCTCATTAAAAAAAAAAATCTATTATTTGACTGGGTGGTGGTGGCACATGCCTTTAATCCCAGCTCTTGGGAGGCAGAGGTAGACAAGTCTTGTCTACAGAGTGAGTTCTAGGAGAGGTTTCAAAGCTACAGAGAAACCCTGCCTTGTAAAACCAAAAAAAAAAAAAAAAAAGAATTCTATTATCTATTATTTATAAGAGGTCCTGCCCAGAATCACATAGATACTCAGCAACAAACCCGAGTTAATGGATTACTTCTACATGTCTTCAAATAGACTGTTCGTTAACAGTTTAAACCAGTCTACCAGCCCCAGAGACCTCTGTGGCCTGTTGGAACACTACTGTCCTCAGAGACTTTGTCGCCTTCTTTCCTAGCAATGGGTTATCTCAACAGCAAAAGGTTAAGAGCCTGGAAGACTAGAGCCCAGGGCAGGAAGGAGCTGCTGTGGCTCTCTTTGCTCAGACAAGATGGTGGTGTCTAAGTGTCCTATATAAAGTGAAGTGGAGGGTGAGAAGGACAAAGGACCTAGGAAGATAAGTCAGCCCAGCCTATAGCAAGCAGTTGGCTATTGCCGAGAACACCTTCTGGGACTTTCCAGAAACCTTTCCAGGATGTGGGAGGGGAAATCTTGATTGAGTGCGGTTCTGAGTGAAGCTACACAAGTTAATGAGATTAAATTTTAACACAGATAGCCATGGAGCTGGGGGTGTGACTCAATGGTAGCAATAAAAATAAAACAAAATAACTTAGGGAAACCTGGATTCATTCAGAAGACACGGGAAAGTAAGGGACATTTTCATAAAGGTAAATACAAATTCTCTCCCCAACTAATCGCACTCTTGAAACAAACCGAAATCCACGCTGAAAACAACAGCCCCACATCCACTTGACCTCTGTATTGAGACAAGATTTGGCATGCCACTATGTGTATTTTTTCTTAAGATTATTTAGGAGTGGCACATCCTTGAATTCAAAAGTCACAGACTGAACGACATCTGCAGACGCTGACCCAGTGCAGGTCACAGAGCACTGAAGGACGCCTGTGCTGACCCAGTGCAGGTCACAGAACCAATGACTAATGATGAGCCCTTTACCGTCTTTCTCCGTCCACATAACTTAGCCACAATCTCTCTCCTCCCACAGCCCCACTCCCCCACATCCTTTCTTCCTCAGGAAGCATGTCTAAAACAAAGAGACTCTAAGCTATATTTGAAATTGCTGCAACTTGGGGGGCAGAGTTTTGAAAATCTTAATCATACAATCAGATAACTACATGGGTCAACAAAGGATCGGGTCAGTCTTAAAATAAGGCCCTGCTTGTAACGTATGCCAATTGATTGAGACCCATGTGCACAGAGACACGGTTTTGCTCTGTTTATATTGTAAAGTTAACAAACCTTAGGGTGTGCTGCCACAAAACAGTAAACACAGCTACACTCCAATCTCTTACACAAACTTAGAACTAAAACATGATTATAGGTATACCTTCCTTCTCAGAAAGAAACAACCTTGAGACCAGCAAGATGACTCAAAAGACCAAGGTTTCTGTCACTAAGCTTGATTGGTGTAGAAGGTCCTTCTGCATTTGTGTTGATTTCATTGGTTGAATAAAGAAGCTGCCTTGACCTTTTGATAGGGCAGCCCTTAGGTGGGTGGAGTAGACAGAACAGAATTCTGGGAGGAAGAAGGCAGGCAGCGAGCCGCCCGCCAGGAAGCTGACAGGTCAGACATGCTGAATCTTTCCCAGGTAAGCCATGGCCTCGTAGTGACATACAGATTACTAGAAATGGGTTGAATCTAGATGTGAGAGTTAGCCAATAAGAGGCTAAAGCTAATGGGCCAAGCAGTGATTTAATTAATACAATTTCCATGTGGTTATTTCAGGGGTTAAGCTAGCCAGGTGGCGGTACGCAGCCCGCCACTCCTCTTACTACACCTGATGACCTGGCTTCTATCCCCAGGACCTACAACGTAGAAGGAGAAAACTAATTCTTCCAGATTGTCCCCTGGTACTCCCACACGACACAATGTGTGCGCCCCCCCACCCACAACACATGGAAATAAAAATAAAAATAAATGTAATTTCAAAAAGGTTTTCAAAGAAAGAAGCATGCAAACTTAGGATAGGGAAATGGCTCAGTCAGCACAGGGCTTGTCAGGCAAGCATGAGAGCTTGGGTCCAATTTCTGGGACCTATATAAAGAAAGTCAGGCCTAGAGACCCAGGGCTGGAGGGGGGAGAGAGCTGGAGTCCTGGGCGGCTGCTTTCAGACTACTGCATGAGGTCGAGGTCGTAGTGAATCCAAAAACACAAAAGGAGGAAGGGAAAGGAGGAGGAAAAGGTGGATGGCACCCAAAAATTGACAACTGGGGTCCTCCTCTGGCTTGCAGTCAAATACGTAAGCACAGGCATATTTACCGACACCACATACACACAGACTCTTATGAGCATGTCCTGTAATAAAAATATCAATATAAGCCATAATTTTCAAAATTATTTTCAAATAAAAGGAGAGTCTGCCTTTTTCCCTTTGAAAATTTTCCAGCTGACTGAGATGATCAAATTCATATTCGCTAGGGTACACAAACCGCGTCTCCCTGACAGACCACTGCTACTCTATGAATTTTGCATAGTTCATTTTCCCTGAGGCTCTTTCTTGGCCTCACACTTCCAAACAAGACACCAAGTTGGATAGAGCAGGGCATCCTGGGATTGACAATGCACAGATGTTCACACTCCATGCCTGCCATGGTGGGGAGGAAGAGCTGTCCTGGCACCCACAGCCCTGGACACTAGCCCTACCCTGGCTCCATAGCCCTGTCTAAGCTCAGGTTCTAGATGGGGGAGTGGGGTGCTCACAGCCTTCTAGTTCCCAGTTCTCTAGAACATATACTTGCTCCAGTGGGCATAGGAAACCTAAAGCCAAGTTGTTTTTCCCATCAGTGTTGTATGCCTAGTCTGGGGGGCTTTCCATGACTAGGAAATGCACAGGCTAAGAGGGCACCAACTCATGCTCTGTCTGTCTGTCTGGGTTCTACTTGGCATAAAGTCCAACTGCTTTCTCATGAATAGTTCAGTCCAGGTAAGTTTCTTATTATAGACTGTTAGTCACGACACACCTACATCCAAGGGAAAGAAAGACTGAAATCAGACCACTGTGTTCTCACAATACAGGGATTCCACAGGTCTAAAACCAAAGCAATTTTCTTTCAAAAGAAGGAAATAGTGTATGTGTTTGTGGTGTGTGTGTGTGTGTGTGTGTGTGTGTGTGTGAGTGAGTGTTTCCTAGAGTCACTTCCAGTACTGTCTCTCAAGAGCTATACACTTCTTTTTTTTTTTTTTAATGAAGGATCTTTCACTGGGACCAGGAGGTCACCAGCCAGACTAGATTCCCCAAGTCATCAAGCCCCAGGGATTCTCCTGTGTCATGTGTACCCCACCACCAGCAGCACTGGGATTACAGGTGCATGCTGGGTAATTAGGATCAAACTCAGTTCTCACACTTACACAGTAAACACTCACCGAACCAGCCCCCCCAAAACATATTTCAAATATCTGGTTAACATCCACCCCGTTTTAGCCTTGTTAGACTGAGTAATGTGATATTTAATACTTCTGATTTTACTTCTGTTCTACTTGCCAGCTTTTCAAAGTCTGACTTGTTGTGAGAACTTTTCACTTACTTAATTAAAACATGCAAAAGAAAGGTGTGGGAGCAGAGGCCTCCCCCAAACAGTAGTCGGCATTGTCATTGCTCTCCGTTGCCCACCAACACTTGGTACTAAGGTCGATACAGGTGGGCACAGGACATGAAGAAATCAAGCAGGTAGTGAACAGATGCGCCATGCCTGAGTGTTAAGGGGAAACCAACGTCTTTCTTATTAGAGACAAGTCCCACTTTGCAAGTGGAAACCTATCTGATACTCTAAATCTAGCAAAGAATCCATGGCCAGGGAGCTCATAGGACCTGGGAGAAAACCTACTACTATTTTGCTAAATAAACATTGCATCAAACTGTCATCTAAATACGTATTTCTGTATCAATAGGTTATTATAGCTCTCATCCATTCCTCATCAGATATATGTTCTCAGCAGTTATTGCAAGGACTCACACTGGCCAAAACAGTGGAGCACTCGGACATTCATGGGCGATCCACATCGCTCCCTCACCTCAAGGGTCAGACAGCTCTAGAGCAGGGGGCTAGGGGATACCTCAGTCAGTCTCCAGAACCCCAGGACTGCAGCATCAAAGACAGAAAGATCCCCGGGGCTTGCTGGCAGGCCAGTCTAGTCAAGTCACCGAGTTCAAAGCTCAGTGAGAGACCCTGCCTCAGGAAAGTAAGATGGAGAGTAGCTGAGCAAGATACTTGACACCAGCCTCTGACCTCCACATCACACACTTCTCTCTCTCTTCTCTCTTCTCTCTCCCTCTCTCCCTCCCTCTCTCTCTGGCTCCCTTTTTTTTTTTTAGATTTATTTATTTATTTTGTATACAGTTGTTCTGCCTGCAGGCCAGAAGAGGGCCCCAGATCTTATCATAGAAGGTTGTGAGCCACCATGTAGCTGCTGGAAATTGAACTCAGGACCTCTGGAAGAACAGCCAGTGCTCTTAACCACTGAGCCATCTCTCCAGCCCCCATCTCTCCCTCCCTCCCTCCCTCCCTCCCTCCCTCCCTCCCTCCCTCCCTCCCTCTCTCCCCCATCTCTTCCTCTTTCCCTCCTTTTCTGTCCCTCCCTCCCTCTGTTTCTTCCTCTCTTTTCTTCCCTCCCTCTGTCTCTCTGTCTCTGTCTCTCTGTTTCTGTCTCTCTCTCTCTCTCTCTCTCTCTCTCTCTCTCTCTCTCACACACACACACACACACACACACACACACACACACACACACAGAAACTCCAGAGCACTTCTCAGAAAGCATTTGTGCAGGTGAGGCGCTAACATCGTGAAGTAGAGACACTTTTGAAAGTTCAAGCTTCCTCAGGAGTGCTGTTCCACCCGCATTTGGAGCCTGTTCTGTAACTCTACCTATTTGGATGTCTTTCAAGCATGCACCTTTCTACAGCCCTCTCAGCATGAGTAGTTGGATCCTGTAACTGGATAGGGCACATTTTAATCCTCAGCTAAGTTTCAAAGAGGAGCAAGTTGAGAGGCAAAGCAGAGTGTGGCTGAGAGCACCTGGCTACTAACCTGCTTCATCTCATTGGTGAAGTATACGTAAGTCACGGCCACAGACAGGGCTTGCAGGAGCATCTGCAAGAGCACCGTGCAGATGAGCATCGTCCAGAAGTGCTGACCAATGCTGGGGTCCTTCAGGGTCCTCGTGGAGGCCATGGTCCTGTCTGGGTCTGTTCCCCTGAGCGGCTGTGCAACCCAGCAGCGGGCAACTGAAAAACCAACTACCTGCAGTTTCTTTTCTTTGTGGCATGCAAAACTGAAAGTGAGTTTGCTGCACGCAGAGCAAGTCGGGACAGATTGTATCTGTTAGGAAGTAGCACATTCACAAATCCCCCAGCTCCCTCCCCCAACATCCGTGACCCTGAGTCTGGCACAGGCACAGTTTCTGGCAACAGAGTCAATTCCTATGCAACATCTTTCGGGCGGATATCCCATTGTGGGGAGCAAAAGGGAGTCCACTTGTGACATGATTCAAATTCTCTCTGTTCTGAAGATGCTGGCTGCCTGCCTCACAGAATGTTTCCTTTGGCGGTTACTTAACTACAAAGCCATCACTCCCTGGCAGGATGGAGCCCTCAGGGGTAAGCAACCTCTGTGACTTGGGTTTCAGGCAAAACCCGGAAGTGCTCAGTCTACCTGGAGTCTGTCTCTGTCCTTCCCTCCTAGTGCCCTCTGCTAGACTAAGGACTTTGGTCCCAGGCTTTGATACTGTGGAGTGTTTCCAGAAGGATGAAATGAATAATTCATGACTGGCTCTCAGGTGCTGACCAGTAAATACAGACAAGAGGGCGGAGCCACAGCCTGCTCACAGAGCTTAGATTTGATGGGCAGTAGGTATGGTACTCCAAAAGAAAAAGAAGTGCATCTGAGTGAAAGAGAGGGGCTTCCCTGTCCTGCCAGGTCCTCCCTTATCCATGTGATCCCTTCCCCCAAAAAACAAACAGAAGTCTAACTTGTGTTGCTCATATATTCATGGGACCATATCCAAATTCCCAGCGGCCATTCCCTTAAAGGAAATGGAGTCCTCCCAACCCCCAGCCCTGCCAGAAGCCTTCAGTTGTGGAGCTGCACTTCATCATCTTTACATCCTTATTACAAATTTTGGGGGAGGGTTCAAGACAGGATTTCTTTGTGTAGCCATGGCTGTTCTAGAACTCACTCTGTGCCTGCATGTTTTGCAAGCATTCTGGCTTCCATAACCAAATGTAATGGGTTTGCATCTTGGTGCTTACAAAGCCAAAAGAGCATGACCAAGACTCAAGAGTGGAGAGGAGTCCACTGTCTGCCATACATGTGTGTAAAACCCCAGCTCCGAGGCACCCATGTAACAGGTCAGACACTCACACATGTGTAAAACCCCAGCTCCGAGGCACCCATGTAACAGGTCAGACACTCACTCAGAAATGTCTAAAACCCCAGCTCCGAGGCACCCATATAACAGGTCAGACACTCACTCACACACGCCTATAACCCCAGCTCCGAGGCACCCATATAGAAAGTCAGGCACCCTGTCTGTGCTATAACCCCACCCCCAGGAAGAGCAGTGAGAGAAGGCAGGGATGCTGGGGCTTATTGCTCTCAGACTAGCTGAGAAAATGAGTCCTGGGTTTAGGGAGAGACCTTGCCACAAGGGAAGAGATGAGGATAAATGCACACACATCCACACATCATCTTCCTTTTATTTTGTGTTCTTGGGGCAAAATCTCACTATGTACCCCATGCTAGGCTCACACTTCCAATCCTCCTGCCGCAGGTTCCCTAGTTCTGAGATTACAATCATGTGTCTGCACACTACATGTTCTGTAGCCTACTGGGTAGCTCCTCTATCAAGCCTTTCCGAAGCACTTAGCTTTGTGTTTTGAGAAACAGCCCCGTTTCACTCACTGGGTGCCATAAGATTTAACTGAATCACGTGACGCCATCAACCAGCATATTCAGTATTGGGAATCCTTTAACTCTAATTAGAAGTGTAGGTAGGATGATCTTGTCAACTTCCAATATCCAGGAGGATAAATATATGTTTTTCTTTGGGTTCACCTTCTTATTTAGCTTCTCTAGGATCACGTAACTATAGGCTCAATGTCCTTTGTTTATGGCTAGAATCCACTTATGAGTGAGTACATACCATATTCCTCTTTTTGGGTCTGGGTATCTCACTCAGTAAAGTGTTTTCTATTTCCATCCATTTGCATGGAAAGTTCAAGATATCATTGTTTTTTACCGCTGAGTAGAACTCTAAAGTATATATGCCCCACACCTTCTTTATCAGTTCTTCTATTGAGGGGCACCTAGGTTGTTTCCAGGTTCTGGCTGTTACAAATAGTGCTGTTATGAACATAGTTGAACAAATGCTTTTGGACTGCCAGGGGTGCATCCACCCACTGAGACAATGGGGCTGATCTAATGGGAGCTCACCAAGGCCATCTGGACTGGGACTGATGGAGCATGTGATCAAACTGGACTCTCTGAATGTGGCTGACAATGAGGGCTGACTGAGAAGCCAATGATAATGGCACTGGGTTTTGATTCTACTGCATGGACTGGCCTTGTGGGAGCCTAGTCTGTTTGGATGCTCACCTTCCTAGACCTGGATGGATGGGGGAGGACCTTGGACTTCCCACAGGGCAGGGAACCCTGACTGCTCTTAGGACTGGAGAGAGATGGGGAGAGGGAGTGTCGGGAGTGGGAGGGAAATGGGAGGAGGTGGAAATTTTTAATAAATAATTTTTAAAATAGTGTAGGTAGGGATAGAAGGATATTCGCATCTAGAGAATGGTATTCAGACTTCAGCCTGTATACTGTGCAAAGGTAAAAGAACTAACTATTGTAATTCAGCTTACCGGAAGTTAGAATGGAGACCTGATAGCATAGTCTATGCCCGTTGGACACCCTGTCATAAGAATGTAAGTGGCATGAAGGGATGACACTCCTGTCACATATGCCATGGGTAGCACCTGGCCCTGAGCACACTGTGTGTCTACATACATGAGTAGACGTGAGATGATCTGGAATCTTCAGCTCTTTCCCTGGTGAGTTAGTCATCTGCAGAGTGGTCACAAACATGGCTTTGTAACACACCTTAAAATGTAACACACCTTAAAAATCATATTCTACAACACAGGGCTACACACACAAAAAAAAAAAAAACAAAAACCTGTCCTGAAACAGCATCAAAAAAGAGAAATAAAAAGAATGTATCCCTTTGAAAAGAATCTTGCTTTCTATACTATTATTTTAATTTTTTTATTTCTCTGTCTGTGTATGTATGCTATATATATGTGGCTTCCCTCGGAGGCCTGAAGAGGGTATTGGATCCTCAGGAAGTAGAGTAACAGATAGTTGTGAACCACCCAGCCTGGGTGCTGGAAGATAGATCATGTCAAATTGACAATTAAAACTGCCACACTCAGCTACATATAGAATGTAAGGCCAACCTGGGTTACATAAAACTCTACCTGAAGAAGCAAAAACTGAGGAGGAAGAGAAAGAGGGAACCGAGGTGGAGAAAGGAGAGGTGAGGGGAGGGGGACCAGTGTTAGGTCAGGGATAGAGGTGGGCGCACATAGAACATCTGATAGATCCATGGGCTCCATCGTCTTTCTATCTGCTCATTTCTTTCTTTTTTATTTGTTTCTTTCTTTTCTTTCTTTTATTGAACTTGCTCTGTAGACCAGGATGGCCTCGAACTCACAGAGATCTGCCTGCCTCTGCCTCTGCCTCTGCCTCCTCAGTGCTGGGATGCTGGGATTAAGGGTGCACACCACCACTGTGCCTGGCTATGCTCATTTCTTGTTCTGTGTCACAGTCTGCTGGTCTGAGATAACGTTTTTGTGGAATCCCTTTATGGTAGACTAGCTGTTGGGCAGTCATGTTGATTGTCACTATAGGCAAAACAAAAGGCAAATGCTTACCCAGAAAGAACAGAACATTGCCTTCGCAGGGTGAAGGGATCTCATCTATTCAACTTGCCTATGCAGTAATTTGTATACTCTGGAGAATGGTGCCCTGTCGTTCCTAATGGATATTTGGGTGTTGTTGTTGGTGGTGGTGGTTTTTATTGTTGTTGTTGTTGATTTTTGTTGTTGTTTTGTTGTTGTTGTTGGGAGGGGCTCCCTACCATACAAATATTCTCCTCATTTGGGAGGACTCCACAAAAGTGAGCGGTCAGGCTTCAGTTTCTGCTATAGACGCCAAGGAGAAGAATATTAGTCATTGTAGCTATAGCTATGGAGTCAAGATCCCAGAATTCAATGTTGGGAGAGTTCTGCATCTTAGCAACAGTGAGAACACAGTTGATTAGCCATGGGTAGCCATGGTGACAGCATCCGTGTTTAAAGTATTCTCTTGCTTCCTGCTGGGATTGTTGGTGATGTTTTTTTTTTTGTTTTGGTTTTTTGTTTTTTTTTTGTTTTTTTTTTTCTTTTTTTTCATGTGTGTGGCTTGCTTTTTTATGTGTTTTGTTTTAAGACAGGGTCTTACTATATAGCCCACACTCACAAAAATCCTCCTGCCTGGGCCTCCTAAATTCTGGGATTAGGCTTGTGCCCCATACTTTTGATCTGGAGTTTGGGTCTCTAGTGGTTTTTATTCTAACACTTCCAATAACTCTTTTCCCTAAGTTGTCCATTGTCAGTGTTTGGTCCCAATAGTGTTTGGTCCCAATATTACAGAATCTGAACAAATGTGTACTGTTCTTTCATTGCTACTCAAGCAGTTGGCTTGGTAGGTAGTGCCAGGCAACAGACAGACAAAGCTATTGACCATTGCTCTAGAAAGACAGATACCCAGGCAAAGCCCGAGTAAGTAGTATGAGAAATTCACTCATGGGACAGCATACACATAGCCCGGCCAGTTGGGGAAGCTCCTGGCTGAAAGAGAGGCCATTAAGGTTCACACAATCCACTAACCTGGGCTCCCAGGGGCTCCCAGAGACTGACAACCAGGGAGCCTGCGTGAAACTGACCTAGGCTCTCTGCATACATGTTACAGTTGTGTAGCCTGTCCTCTTGTGTGACTCCTAACAGCAGGAACAGGAGCTGTCTCTGATTGGTTTTGGGGACCCTACTTCTCATACTGGGTCACATTTCCCAGTCTTAACACAAGGGGAAGTGCTTAGTCTTACTGCAACTTGGTATGCCATGTTTTATTGACACTCATGGGAGACCTGCCCTTTCCTGGATGGAGACAGGAGAGAAAGGAATTGGGGAGTGGGAGAG